AAAAATCAAGATATCAAGAAGATTTTATTACTAATCTTTAAGTTTAACTAGAAATAGCTATTAGAAGTTTTTAAGACAATAAGGAACTCAATAATTCTACACTAACAAAGGAAAGATGGAGGAATTTTTAACTGTTATTTGGATGAAAATGATAATATTTGAACAGATTAAGATACCTTTACTAATTGTATATCATTATTAGGTAATTTAGCACAATAAGAAAGTCATAGACCAATGCCTATTTCATAGCTTACTGAACTAGATGAAGTAGAATTTAAAGAATTGTTAAAATAAATGGCTTGCAATAAAATAATTTCATTTGATGGCATACCACATTCTTTGGTGAAACACTGCAATTGGAGAATCCTTAAAGACATATGGAATGAGGGAACTTTTCAAATAAACCCAAAACTCGGGTGGTTTAGACTACTTCCTTTAAATAAAGCACACCCAGCCATTCCTAGGAGTGAATAATTGCGTCCTTTAGTAATCCTCAGCCTACTATTCAAGTTTTTAGGACTTCGATTCAAATAAAAGCTGNATTATAAAAAACGATAGGGATAAGGGGGGGGGGGGGGAATTTTAGCAGGAATCTATAACAATTTCATAGCAGAGATATGACAAAGTACTTTTTTGATAACTAAAAAGAAAATTATTTAAATACACCTGATCTCCTTATTATTCACATTAAGAACCCAATCATAGAATTTATTGTTGTAAATATTTACTTTCACAATCTAAATGAATTTATTTAATTCAAATAATAGTATCTAGAAATTTTAAGGAAATAATGAAAAAATAGTGATATACGGGGATTTTAAAACTCCATCCCTCAATTATAGTGGATTTAAAGATCTTTTGTATAAGGAAATAACATTCATAAGATAGCAATAAAATAGATTAATATAATCTTAAACTGATCATTTTTTAGTCCTTAATACAATGCATTGTAGATGCAATAAATACTGGACTAGCCTTTCTGATTATGTAGCTTTTAAAATTAAATTTTAACTTGAAAATTAAGCAATAGAAGATTAATCCTAACTAAAATCTGAATTGGTATATTTAAGCTAGTTAACAATGCCAAAAACTCTTAAATAATTTTGATATTTAAGAATTTCGTGGCTTTATAAATAATATAAAAGGCTACTATTTACAAAAAGAATAATAACCAAAAACAGAACAAGAATACAACCTATTAAAAATCAAGATATCAAGAAGATTTTATTACTAATCTTTAAGTTTAACTAGAAATAGCTATTAGAAGTTTTTAAGACAATAAGGAACTCAATAATTCTACACTAACAAAGGAAAGATGGAGGAATTTTTAACTGTTATTTGGATGAAAATGATAATATTTGAACAGATTAAGATACCTTTACTAATTGTATATCATTATTAGGTAATTTAGCACAATAAGAAAGTCATAGACCAATGCCTATTTCATAGCTTACTGAACTAGATGAAGTAGAATTTAAAGAATTGTTAAAATAAATGGCTTGCAATAAAATAATTTCATTTGATGGCATACCACATTCTTTGGTGAAACACTGCAATTGGAGAATCCTTAAAGACATATGGAATGAGGGAACTTTTCAAATAAACCCAAAACTCGGGTGGTTTAGACTACTTCCTTTAAATAAAGCACACCCAGCCATTCCTAGGAGTGAATAATTGCGTCCTTTAGTAATCCTCAGCCTACTATTCAAGTTTTTAGGACTTCGATTCAAATAAAAGCTGCAATTATATTTAAAAGATGGAATTAAAAAACAATAAACTGGTTTTATTGATGGTTTAGGAACACAAGTCTATATATATATTTACTTAATAAATGGATGAAAGAATACAAAGGGAAAGATATGGAGAATCTAATATTTATTGATTTCTCAAGTGCTTATAACATGATCAGTAGGGAAATGATCTATAGAATTCTAGAGGAAAAATAAATTTTAAAAAAATAAGAAGTTAAATTTTTATAGGTTATAATAAATTTATATCAAAACTTATGAAACAAAGAACAAGGTTTACTTTAGGTGTGGAGTTCTTCAGGGATCGCCGATTCTTGATCCTTAATTAGCATATGCATAGATGAATTTCTAAAAAGCCTATTTCAAAAGATTGATTTTAAAGTCATCTATATTGAATTGAACCACATTTTCTTTACTTTTCTGTGAGTAAATCCTTTGCGAACAAAGAAATGAGCAAAAAATTTATTCTATTAAGGAAATAGATTTTCAAACTACTTACAAGATTACCTAAAAATACTCCTGACAAAGTTATTAACTTATTGCAGATAACACTTAAATTAAAAGAAAAACATAGCTGATACCATCCAAAAAGTTAAGACTCGACTCTTAATATAAGATAATACTTAAATTGATCTGCCAATAACAATACTTTATTTAGAATTCCCTAATATATTCAACACTCCTGACAACTTTAACCTAATGTTCAAACTTTGATGGAGAGCATGCGAGGATCATAATAAGAGACTCTATAAAAAACATATCTTGAGTGATTATCTGTTCCTCACTCCAGGTGATGCAATTGAATCTTTAACACTAGACAATATAAGCAAAAAAAAAAAGAAGAAAAAATTTTTGAAAGTCTTAGATTGTAAAGCAACTTATCCAGCAAATAAAATGATTAAAATAAGTTTTCATATTCCCTTCAAGGGTGTAATAATAATTACTTATTTAAACTAATTGATTTTTATTAAAACTGACTAAAATTAAATTAGGAACTTTAAAATATTATTAATTAATAACAATCAAATAAAGCTCTAATTTCTTATTCCTTTTTAATTCTTTCCATTCTTAAGATAACCATTCAATAATTTTTTGGCAACATTGCTTTATTGGTAGATCTAAGATTAAGGAAGATTATTCAAAATATCTTTGATGGAAATAACAAATTGTAATATTGGAATAACGTGATTTCTACTTTTAAATAATAAAAAGCATTATAATTCCCAAAATATCGGTTTGAATTATTCTAAAATTTTTGGGTAATATCTTTACATTTATTATTTTGAGATTTTAAAAGGTCTGATTCATTAATGAATTTAGATTATAAATGTATATGAATAATAATATCTTAAATTTGATAGATTGATTAGTTCATCAAGTAATTCAGTTTGTAATTTCAAATTAAGTCCTTTAGGTAGTAAAATGATTTTAATTTTGTGATTCTTTAAAAAGCTTTTAACATTATATCAGCAGTTTTAATGTTAATTATCTAAAGATACTTAAAAAAAAGATTACAAAAAGTTCCTCCTTTTGGATTAAGTTTGATTCATAAATAGCCTAAGATAATCATTAATTATGATAAATACATGGTTATTTCTTCTAATATTTATTTAGAAGAGATAAACTTATTTCTCTAAATTTTTAATTCTTTCTCATACTTATTGATGATTTATATATCTTTTGAGTATTTTTTGTTGTGCAAGATTTATTGGAATAAGTAAAAAATAATAAATAGATATCGAAATATTGGCTAGAACTTATAACTTATTTTCACTAATTATTTTAGTTTTTGTTGTTACAAAAATTAATTTCATATATTTACCATTTACTAACTAAAAAACCAAAATTTATTACTAATTAAATTAAATTATTTCAAAATTTAAATCTTTAAAACATCAAAAAAATTTGTTAAGACTATCATAACATAATAGAGGATTAAATAAAAATTCAGTTGTTTTACATTCCTTGTAATCTTAAATTAATTTTTTTCTTTGCAATCTCTATTCATTTTTTATAAAGATTAATTATTTATTTAAGACAGTTTCATTTAAATTTATATCTAAATGAATTAATTGATAAATTTTTATTCGCTCCAATTATAAAATTTTATAATATTAAGTATGTGAACAAAAAAATAACCAAAATTTTGTAAAAAACCAATTCTTAAAAATTGATTATTTTACATCATCTTATAGAATTTAAATCGATAAAGATATAGAGAGGAAATGGTAAATAATAATAATAATAATAGTGAATAATATATAATTTCTCATGTCTGTTTTTTTGCTCACATA